AGATTACACCTAGCCCGGGGGGGAGACGCCCTCGTAGGGCCCAGTCGTACCCGATGTTCCACAGGAGAGGTCCTAGGACAGACCCCTGCGGAACACCGCACGACATGGCCCTGCGTCTCAAGACGCCATCTCGGTCCTCGTACATGACGGTTCGCTCCTCAAGATAGTCTGCCACCAGCCGCCTCAGGCACTCCGGCACTCCGTGGTAGCGGAGCACTTCCCTGATGCAGCTGAATGGCAGACTATTGAAGGCATTGGCGATGTCCAAGGACACCGCCAACACCACTCCGCCGCAGCTCACAGCCTCCTCGGTCACGGCCCTAAGGCGCATTACGGCATCGATCGTCGAACGCCCCTCTCGGATACCGAATTGGGCGTCCGACAGATCGGGGCTAACCTAGCAAAGGTGCCGGACGATGCGGGCAGAGAGTACCCTCTCAAAAAGTTTACCCGCCTCGTCCAGCATCACGATAGGCCTATAGGCCGCGACCGAATCGGTAGGCCGTCCCAGCGCTCAGGGAAGCGTCCGGACGCCAGGCTAGCGTCCAACACCCCCCTGAGGTGGTCCGACATGTAGTCGAGGGCTCGGGCCATCACTCGGGCTGGAACCCCGTCCGGCCCGGGGGCACTGTTCTTGGATCGAATCCGTAGAACACCCGCCCCCAACTCCGATTCCCTGACGTGCGGAACATCAACCTTCTCCGGCTGATACAGCCATCGACGGGGGTGTGTGCTCTGCCCGCTGCGGGAATAGGCCCTCGACCACTTCCTGCAGTAAGTTGGGCTGGAGAGTTTCCGTAAGGGGGGGGGGGCCTGACGTGCGGAGCTTTTGACGCACCGCACGATAAGGGCGACCCCAGGGGTCACGCTCGAGACTCCAGCATCTCCTCTCTACTCACATCCTTGGCGCGGCGGATTCTCCACCTCCTCACCGACCCCGCGGTGACGTCGCCGACTACGGGTGAGGGACCTCCGGGCACGTACACAGGCCGCACGGAGGTCCGCCAACTCCTGGGACTACCAGTAGACCTCCTTCCTTGGAGGCCGACAACCATGTACGCGGGGCATGGCTGCATCGCAAATCTGCGTAATCGCATCGCAGAAGCGACCAGCCTCCATGTCGACCTCCTCGGTCGGGGCCTGCGGAGACAGCCAAGAGTGAATAATGGCCGCCTCCTCTAGTAGGTCCCTGTCGAGCGACAGCCCACCGCGGGAAGCGGGAAGGGCGCCACGCCGCGTGACCCCTACTGGGGTCCTGGGACCGGGAGAGCTCGAATCGGATGTAGAGATGATCCGAGAGCGTCTCGACCTCTTCCAGGACACACCAGTTCCTTACTCGTGCGGCGACTGCAGGGGTAGCGAACGAAAGGTCCCCCCCCCTATCGACCCCCCCTGCTGTCGCACACACGTGTTGGTGGGGCCCCTGTTCAGCAAACAGAGGCCCACCGACGCCGCCCACTCCTCGACGGCTTCGCCCCTGGCGTCCGTCGCAGGGGAACCCCACGCAAAGTACTGCTTTGCCTAACTTAACTACTGGCGTTACTGGAAGTTCTCATTTTCAAAACAGCACGTCTGAAAGCGTCGTTTTGTCAGGTGATACTCAAAAAAACTCTACCCGTTCTGTTTTGCTATCCACAGCTCTGGTGACAGTGGTCAACAACCGGGGTGAGAAGCTCGACGCCAGAATCCTGTTTGATAACGGTAGCACAGCCAATGGTGCTAATTCTGTTGTTCGAAAACTCTGTAAACTAAACTAATAGTCACTAAAAAACACTTCACTCCTGTCGAGTACTACGTTTTCGGAATAGGAAACGTAGTACTTGACAGGACTAAACGAATTTTTAGTGATTTTTAGTTTAGTTTACAGAGTTTTCGAACAACAGAATTAGCACCAATTTTATTAGTAAAACACTGTGTCATAAGCTGGAATTGTCCAGACGTAACCCCAACTCCACGAAAACAGGTATAAATAATCAGTTGTCTAATAGCACACAGTCTTGTAGGTTAACAGTTCAGTCCCGTGATGGTGTTTACAAGGAGACTATCAGTTGTTACAATACAACTGATAGTCTCCTTGTAGACACTGCCTGGGATCACTAGGATGTTACCTTCATCTATGGTGGACATAAACAAAATGAGCATTTCAACAGATATAAAACTGACTGACCCTTCATTCTACATTCAGGTAGTTATTGCTATGCTCGTCGGCGCTGAAGTCTTTTGGAATGTCTTAGGTACCTCGTCGATTAGTCTAGGTAAGAATCAACTCAAACTTCACGCCACAAAATTCGGTTGGATAGTGTCAGGTCCAGTTCCAGTTCTATCGTCTTCTAGAAAACTGACACACTATTGTAACGTGTCGATGGATGAATTACATAGTAGTATGAACAGGTTCTGGGAGTTAGATTCTGTGTCATAAATACATTCTTTGTCTCAAGAAGAACGCGCGTGTGAAGAAAACTTTCTTCAGAACACTATTCGTGATGGACAGGGTTGCTTTGTCGTAACAATTCCATTGAAAACCTATCCTAAAGTTTTAGGTGAGTCATACGAAAGGGCCAAAGGCCGATTTTTATGTCTGGAGCGTCGTTTCCTGTTTTAAGTTTCAAGACACGATATGTTGCCTTCATGGAGGAATATGAGCGTCTTGGTCTCATGACAGAAAATCAAACGTCTATGAAGACTCACACAGGTGATAATGTTTAGTATTTCTTGCCTCACCACGGGGTCATAAAGAAGTCTAGCTCAACACCACTTCGGGCAGTCTTCGATGCCTCAGCGGTAACCTCGTCTGGAATATCATTCAATGATATTCAGATGGTAGGACCAACTGTTCAGGAGGACCTATTTTCAATTTCGTTACGGTTTCGGCAACACAAATTTGTAATTTCTGATGACATAGCTAGGATGTATCGTGCTGTTGCTGTCACACCTTCACAACGTGCTCTATAGCAAATCATATTCCGAGCTGATTCCAAGTTATCGTTGAAAAAATAAAGCCTGAACACAGTAACCTATGGCACATCTTCCGTCCCATATTTAGCAACAAAGTGTTTGATAAGTTTAGCTAAAGCTGCTACTAGTAAAGCCGTCAAGTCTTCAATTGCACGTGATTTTTACGTTGATGACTATCTTTCAGGGGGAAACTCGATTTCAGAAGTGGTAGAGATGGTGAAAGAGGTCATTCCTGTTTTGTCATCAGAGAATTTTCATTTGCCAAAGTGGCAATCCAATAATTTGTCAATTTTAAACCAAATTACAACCTCTTCAGAGGTTTCGAGCCCGAAACCTCTGAAGAGGTTGTAATTTGGTTTAAAATCTAAGTAGCCACTTAGATTTGTCTGAGGGTAGGAATGTGGCATCGAAAACATTACGTTTATGTTGGGTGTGTGAAGGAGATTACCTGTCATCACTTCACTTTTGTGCGTTAAGGGCAGTGGACGTGTCAATTGTCTGTGCTGTCTAAATTCTGTGATCGGTCGATTGTAGTTGGATTCAATTCCTTGTCTCACATTACCTGTTCTTACCTGAGGGATACTCCCACTGGGTGGTCCTAGAGCGAGATATAAATAATACTACGGTTGACTCCTCAAAGTGAATTCGAAAAAGTGTTGTGTTAAGTGGGATTTGATCCGGCCCCCAACAGCGACAGTGGCGGGGACTCTCGCCGCTCACACACCGCGCCACCGGGACAGTTACCGCAGATCGTGAAATACCCATGCGCTACGGGCAGCTTACGTTGCCGTTGCTACTGAAGAATCCTCGCGCCGCTACGGGCCTTCTACTAAAACGGTATCTGCTACGCCTCACATACATAAATTTGTTAAACTAATTATCTGTATTTCAAGTGCTATTAATTTATAATATACTATATTATAAACTGATAAAATAAAAAAATAGCTTCTATTGATTTGAAATATGGCAGGAGTACAGCGCACACCACCGAGTACGTCGAGACCTAAGATTGGTAGTATTTGCCAGGCGGAATCACAATCTGAACCTGATATCTCCGCAGCCATAAGAGTAAGCGACTCTGTTAAAGTTAATAGAACTAAACGTGCCCGCGCCCGCGGATAACTCGCCGCAGAGTGCTTCAGTTGAAACAAGCTCGTTTGACCTACATGATACTCTTGTTAATTGGAAGAAGGAGCAGGATAGTGGTATTGCTAAACAGTTGGCCGAACAAACAGCCTTAATATCTAAGCTGTCCTACCTGTACCTGTTCCTGTACAAACACGGAAATCACTCAGTCCATCAGCTTCATTAATAAGCAGTTTGAAGAATTAAAAACTGAGGTGGAAATTCTGAGGAGTACATTTAGAGTATAGAATACTTGATCTTCAGCTGAAATCGAGATCCTCTAGCATAGAACTGCGAAACATCCCGCAAGAAAGCACAGAAACTAACACCAGTCTCAAAAAGACGGTATGTAACTGTTATGTATCTACCTACATTGTATATCGCGTCCCGGCGCGGGGACGAATAATAAATCAGTTCGCATTTGACCGCTGTCTTATTGCTACGTACCTACTTAACACCGGCGACGAGCTGTTATCAATCCGCGTGCATCTGTGAAAATGACATTATTACAATGCCGATCGGACACATAGAACCATACAGTTTTGAAAGTAGTTGTAGAGTGAAGTTGAAGAGTGAAACAGTTTATAGCATTGAATAACATTAGTGATTCGCTTCAAGTTGCTACGTTAGTGACGGTAGTAGGCGCGGAGTGCTATGAGTTAATGTGTGACTTGTGCGCGCCAAGTACCCCGGAATCAAAAACATTTACCGAACTAGTTAAACTGGTGAAAGATCACGTGGAACCTGAACGATCAGAAATTGCTGAACGGCACATTTTCAGGCAGTTAACTCATTGTCAAGGTGAAAGTGTTCGCGACTACCTACAATCTTTAAAACATCTGGCAAAAAGTTGTAATTTTGGGGATAAGTTGGAGGAGAACTTACGCGACCAATATGTATCTGGTTTGTACAATGAAGACATGAGATCGAGGATCTTTGCGGAAAAGAATGTGGACTACAAGCGTGCCGTGGAGCTGTCTCAGGCACTGGAGGCGGCAGAGCGCCACGCGTCCATGGCAGGCGCGGCCGCGGCGCCGCACGACGACGGCTTGCACCGGATAGGCGCGGGCGCTGCCGGGGGCTCCAGGGCGCAGGCGGGCGCGCCCCGGCCGCAGCGCGCTTGCCCCCGGTGTTTTAAAATACGGATGGCAAGTGTCGGTTTAAGTATTACAACTGTGATGTGTGTGGTCAACGGGGCCATTTAAAAGCAGTGTGTGTGAAAAATAAAAGTGAGAATAAAAGTTCTAAATATTCAAACAAAAATCAGTTTTTTCTGAACGGATCGGACTCGGAGGATGAAGGTTGTAATTTTTATAATTTAGTAGTTAGTAATAACGGTGATGGTCCATATTACGCTAAAATAAAAGTTGAGAACATTCTATGTAAATTTGAGATTGATACGGGAAGTAAGTTATCTGTTATTTCCAAAGAATATTATTATAGATATTTTCCGAATATTCCTATAGAACAAAAGCAAATAAATCTGAAGTCATATACCGGGGACGTCATCGAGACTCTTGGTTTTATTGTGGTCAATGTTAGTCATGGTGAAAAGCAATCAAAATTAAATTTATTTATCATTGAAAACGGAGGGCCTCCACTGATGGGCCGAACGTGGACTAAACATTTGAAGCTAGGTATAGGGGAATGCTACAATATAACCGAAGTAGACTTGATGGCGACTTCCTTGCGAAAGGAATTTCCTGAGGTATTTGCAGAAGGTTTAGGTACGTTTAAGTCAAAGTTTAAATTATATCTTAAAGATTAAAGATGAGTCACCTAGATTTATAAAAGCGCGACCAATACCATTAGCGCTTCGGCAACCAGTTGAAAGGGAACTCGAGCGGCTGCAGCGGGATGACGTCATATACAAAGTCGAAAGATCAGATTACGGTACGCCTATTGTCCCAGTAATTAAAACAAATGGTAATATCAGATTATGCGGCGATTACAAAGTCACAATCAATCCTCTGTTAAAAGACTATCATTACCCGCTGCCGCGTATTGAAGACCTGTTTGCGATTTTGGGAGGGGGTGAGCAATACACAAAATTAGACTTGTCTATTGCATTTCAACAATGTCTTTTACACGAAGACTCGCAGGCGATGACAGCCATTACCACTCACGTAGGTACATTTGTTTATAAGCGCGTTCCATTCGGTATTAAATGCATACCCGAAAATTTTCAAAAAATTATGGAAGAAACGCTAAATGGCTTGGCTTCGACAGCGGTCTTCGCTGATGATATTTGCGTGACAGGAAGAGACAAACCCACTCACCTAGCAAATTTAAAGGCGGTGCTACAAAGGCTTAAAGAGAACGGATTGAGGATAAACTTTAGTAAGTGTCAGTTTTTCAAGGACAGTGTTACCTATTTAGGATACAAAATTAATAAGTATGGGCTGCACACTGATTCAAAAAAAAATTGAAGCCATTGTAGCAGCACCCCCACCTACTAATGTTACTCAACTGAAAAGTTTTATAGGATTAGTGAACTTTTAGTCAAAATTTTGTGTGAATATGAGTGACATATTGAAACCAATGCATGATTTATTGAAAAAAAATGTGAAATGGAGTTGGACAGTTGATTGTAATACGGCTTTTAATAAAATAAAAAATGTATTAAGCAGTTCCCCTGTGCTCGCGCATTACGATTCCAGCTTGGAGCTGATTTTGTCAGTGGACAGCAGCGCATAAGGGCTCGGCGCGGTGCTCACGCAGCGGCACGCGGACGGCGCTGAGCGGCCCGTCAGCTGCGCGTCGCGCACACTCAACAGCGCCCTCCGCGCTGTTGAGTGTGCTAACTACTCCCAGATAGACAAAGAAGCGCTCGCCATCGTATTCGTGGTCACTAAGCACCATCAATATGTTTACGGGAGACATTTTGTACTACGGAGCGACCACCGCCCTTTGAGTTACATTTTTAGTCAAAATAAAGGGTTACCAGTAACAGCTGCAAGTAGACTCCAACGTTATGCCGTTAAGTTGGCTGCATATGATTTTTCCATTCAGTTTGTTAGATCAACACAAAATTGTTTCGCTGATACGCTTTCATTCTAGAATTGTCAAAAAAGCAATTAAGAGGTGAAGACGAAGAAGGTAGTTATCTGCATTAAGCGCAAGAAATCTTTCCAATCAGTTTTAATGAAATTAAAACTGAAACGGAAAAGGATTCGATACTAAACAAGATCTACGGATTTATTATGTTTGGGTGGCCAACTAATTATGTGTACAATAATATTGAAAAAAAAAATTATAACAAAAGGGACAATTTACACATAAACCAGGGGTGTATAATCTGGGGTTATCGAATTGTAGTCCCGAATACCTTACGAAACTGCATCTTAAAAGAGATCCATGAAGGTCATCCGAGCATAGTCAAGATGAAACAAATCGCACGAAATTATGTTTGGTGGGAAAATATCGATCGAGACATAGAAGAGGTTGCGCGCGAGTGTGTAGCGTGCAGGGAGATGCACCCAGCGCCCCCCGCCGCCCCGCTCTCGTGGCCTTGGCCCGGTGGAACCATGGTCTCACATTCATGTAGATTTTCTCGGTCCTTTTAATAATCATTATTACTTTATAATCATTATTACTTAATAATGCGCATTAGAAATGGATAGAAGCAGAAAAAATCAAATCGACCTCAGCTAGTGCGGTTTGTGACAGCTTGCGGAGCCATTTTTCTCGTTTCGGTTTGCCAAAACGCATTGTTAGCGGCAATGGACCGCCATTCACATCGGCGGCATTTTTTCAATATTTAGAGAACAACGGTATTAAACACACCCTGGTACCCCCGTATCACCCTTCCAGCAATGGCGCAGCGGAGAATGCCGTGCGCACTATTAAAAGGGTGCTTAAAAAATTAGAGAGGGAGGACATAAATAAAGCCTTGAACCGATTTTTATTTATGTACCGAAATACCGAACAGGGCACAACGGGATGGGAACCTGCAGTCGCTCTGTTAGGCAGACGGCTGCGCGGTCGACTAGACCTACTGCGTCCCGATGCCGCTGAGCGTGTGCGCGCGCGTCAGCTTACCGAGGAGCAGCGGGCCCGTAACTTTCCGTTGCGAGTGGTTGAGGGATATTAGGTATATAGGAAGGTTAGGTATTTATATTAGTTACATTAACAAAAATTACGTAACCCACGAATGAGGCTGACCGCTTGCTCGTTAGCCGGTCATCTAGTGGTTCAATGGCGGACGAAGAGACATCAATACTATAGTTACAATCTACTTCGGATAAATCAATAAATGCGACGCGGGGCGACAGGTGTCACTGTTTACAACTCCGTATGCAATACAAATATAATGGAAAAATAACTGTTACAGGTTAACTGTTTTTTTGTATGATTTAGAGGGAGAAGCAGATGGGAGAGGTACGATGGATGGATGAGTTTGAGGGTTTCGAGTAAAATTAGCAGGGGATTTGGGACTGGCAGCAGCCTCAGAATATAGCCGCTTGGCAAACTGTGGAAATCTAGCTGATGCTTCCATATAGCTAAGGTTTTCCTGAGACATGACACTTTTGATAGATTTTTGTCTGTTATGTTCGGGACATCTGTTATCAGTAGCACAATGGCTACCACCATGACATAAAAAACAAGATACCTCCGAGTCAGGAACCAGGCAGGAGTCACCAGAATGCGGCTGAGCACATTTATAGCAGCGGGGCTGGGACCTACATTGTTTGGCAATGTGGCCGAACCGACAACAATTTCTACATTCATTCGATTGTCGCCAGAGAAAGAAGAGATGACTTTTATAAGCCAGCTAAGAATTCGGTTATATGCTCGGATCACTTTGATAAGTTAGATATATCCGAAAATAATAACCGACGTCAATTGGTTAAAACAACAGTTCCTAAATTACATGTACATTCATTAGTGATTCACGATCGAAATGTAATTTTATATCTGTTTTTCTTGTCTGCTTAAATGTATTTGTGACGTGATAAATCATTGTGTTGTGGGAATTCATGTTTATCTATTATTAAAGTCTTTTCAAAAACACAGATTCAATCCCCGCGAACGACTTACAATTGGCAGCAACCAATACTAAACTCTTAGTATCTGACATTGAAGTGCAAGTGAGACATTTTTTTAACAGTAGATAGATAGATAGATAGAACTCTTTATTTGTACACCATTTTACAAGAAGCATGATAGTTACATGAAAGTGTTAGATATACAATGTCTTCTACAATCTTCCAGGCAACCTTAGGATGGATCAAAATGTTCGCGAGAGATAGTAGTAGTTGATGGTGAAATGAGTTTTTCAGGTTAATTACTAACGAATATAAAAGAGATAATAACTACATATATATATAATATAATAAATATACACATTCGCAAATATCGACGCCCCCCGCGAATAATCCGGTAATCGTAAAAGTGTAAATGTTCAGGAAAAATAAAAAACCATTTTTCCTTAATAACTCTATTAAACAACAAGTATCAGAGACTTTTTATATCGCATATGGAAGCTAATTTTTTCAGCTATCTGGTTATTTCAACAAAATTAAATTAGTCCCAAGGGCTTCGTTATAATTTAGCTGGATGCATTTTACTATATTAGTGTAGGTCAAGCTCTGGTCAGTAATGTCACTTACGATATTGTTCGTGTAAATTTATATTTTCGACGGCAACAGTAAAATCTTGTTGCGATATTATTCGTGTAAATTTATATTTTCGACAGCAACGGTAATATCGTGTTGCGCTATTATTCGTGTAATTTGTTTTGTATACTGAACATTTGTAAAAAGTAATAATTAGGTTATTCGATTGTTTAACAGTAACGTACATTTTATTGTTTTGACTATTACTGTTTATTCGAATAGTTTACTTAAGTATTATTTGATGATATTATAGTATATTTTATGAAATAAAGGGCATTCTAGTAAATGAAACAACTTTGGTTAGTTTGACAAAACACGATAGTTATTATTATCATAAAAAATAGACACTGCACTGAAGACACGACTATTACACATGATTACACAATCATGAAAATTATAATAAGGTCCTATTACAGTTGAAAATCTTAATCAGAATCCTCATCGTGACCTGATTCAGTATCACAAAAGCTCAAATTCCTATAAAATGGTTGATAATGGTGGGGAATTGCTTGGGAGTTACACAGGCTTAGGAGATCATAATACAAAGATTTTTGAATAGGGAGTGGCTTGTCATATGCTGGCTTTAA